TTTCCCCCGTGTCGACAAATTCGGACCATAGATTGTTAACTAAGAAGTCGGTGTATTATAAGAGTGATGTTTGTTTCTAAAGTTCACGACATTCGCGTAGGCAGTGGACAAAGTTGGATGTATGCGTTTGCAAATTCTTACTTTTTAGGAAAAGTGCAAGTGGTGCCTAACTTAGCTATTAACAGTTGACTACAAAATGGAGGTGGCATGACCAGAAGAGAGCTGTTTAGTTTTTCACTCGATGTTCTCTTCATCGACCTCCTTGACGGCATTCAGAGTGTGATGGCCACAGCCGCGTTCTGCAAGTGATTTTGCTGAGTTTGAGGAGTCCATGGTGTTTTCTGCCCATTCGCCGGCATCATTATTGTTGTTTAAGTCAATAACGTCATAATCTGGTACCTGTTGATCCGATTCGGTGGTCTGATCATTCTCTTCAGGTTTTGGTAAATTCTTTGAGGCTTCCAAACACACGTTCACTTCTTGTGACGTAACAACATCGCTATCTAGGGTAGCATAGTGATTTTCGGTACAATATACGCTTCTGAAAACTAACGACCGCAAAAACAGTAAACTACTTATCCTGCTTCTGAGTGGATGTGTTGCAATTATTTCATTTGGGAGTCGTACCATGTATCATTATTTCAACAGTGACTACAAGCATTGATTCGTAGAGTTTACACAAAATTCTTCACCGGATGATTCAACATGAGATTGGTACACTTTTGTTTGGATCCGTTTTCTAACCTGCCAGCTCAAAATATAAAACTCATGTAAATGCTTACGGATGTATTAACTGATTTACTTTGGAATTAGCCTCCACAGATGCACAACTTTTCACTATACACATGAAAGGTATAACTTTCACGGACGAGTATATACCCCACTCTTCGTCTAAAAATTTTCAAGCATTAAGATGATGTATTGGTGACATACTTCCTGAATATTCTAGCAGATAATTTGACTGGAAATATTTTATGCCGCGACTGAGGGGCCAAAATATACAGGTATTTTAGCAATAATTGCGTTAAAATATAGTTGTGCTTTGCAAGTTCTCCATTACCACCAGTGGGAGTAAATTTAAAAGTCCGTATTGGCAAAAATTAGCTTTCGGGAGACATGAGAATCAAAATAAAGTAGGGTTGGTGTTACCGTTTTCACTGGTTCCTGTGCTTATTGATTCACTTTCTCCCGCATCATCATTTCTTTGAGTCTGCTGTGGAATAAAACGAAGAATTTACTAACACGTATAACGAGGTAACTTAGCAAGTCTTCCAACTTTGCTCATTTTTGCATAATGTGATTAAAAGGCAACATTTTGCAAATGTTTACGATAGCGACTGAAGCATGAAGAATTATAGGAGACAGACACTGCCGTCTACTACAGTTGGAGCGTCACCCGTGTGGCTTGGAGGTTGCTTAGCAAATTTCTCAAAGCGACGACTGATTCCACATTTCCTCATGGCTAAGGCCTGAAATTAGGTGCGAAAACAAGAATTAATGTAAGATGAGTAGTAAATTACCTAGAAGGATTGTGAATGATCCGGGCATGATAGTAGGAAGTAATCATTAGCTCCATTTACACTTCTAAATTTGTACAGGACCAGCTAACCACAATTATTGGCGATACCGCTTACTATGGTTAAGGACTTATAAGCTGTTTGGTAAAGTAACAAAGCGGGTTTAGCAAATGATTTGGATTAGGTTTACAATTAAATTTCATTTGGTAATTGCATAACCTTTTAGTTGGATTTAGCCACTTTGATCAATTTGAAGTTCGCTTTGCCTCAAATGGATGATGGTAAAGTGCGTGAGCTAAAATTCAATTTAAAACTTATCCCCTTGGTACGGTGAGAGAGGAGCAAAAATATGCCTGATGCTGTTCGACGTGATAAAGTAGTGGCAGAAGTATTTTCACAAGACAGAATCGTATCGAAATAAATCATTCCCAGCAGAAGGTTAATTCTAGTCACAAACCTAGGCATAAACGAAACGTTAAGAAAGTTTAGCCTATTGGAACAACCACGCAGCTTTTTATTTCTTATGTGATTAAAGAGTATTTCCCAAAAAATACATTCGAGCTTATCTAAGTGGAAATAAGGGTAGCCCCAAAGTTTATAGCATTTCTTCGTAATAAATAAGGTATCTCTGTTAATGATCATCAGCAATTGCATCCAGTCAAGCATTTTAAAAAACAGTTTTGGTAAACGTAATTATCCTCAAATTTTGCATACCTTAAGATGCTTCTGCTCAGCCCTCTCCAGCTTTTCATTCAACTCTTCAGCGGTTAGTTTTGGAGCCCTCGGAAGTGGCTCGAGGCGCTATATATAAAACAGTCTTTAATGCAAGGGCAAATTACTTTAAGACGTTTGGGTAATGGTCTCTTTGAGTTGTCTAAGCACGTGTCCAGTTCTCCGTCTAGATTTATTTCAAAGACGACGTATCCCTTTTTGGCTATTATGCCATCAGCACCACCAAAACCATCGCACCTCTGAACCGGATCCTGTGTAATGGTTTTTGATGCACCCTCAGCAGCAGGAGTATCCTCCACTTTAGTGGTCATTTCAGGCTTATTTGTCTCAATTTTGTTAGTGACTTCCTTTCCGTCTTCATCCTCTGCAACCGGAGGGAGTGCGACAAGTTCCACATTTTTGATAGTGGCCTCGTCCAAAACGACATCTGCCGCCTTCCGGTTGTGAAGCACGGTCATGTCATTTATAACTGCCTCTGGAGCCGATGCTGAACAACCCATGCTTGTAATTCGGCTTGATATGCACCTGTTCAAGGCAGCCTCAGGGCAGAACTCTGCCAATGCCAGAGTATTGATTGAGGCAGGGTTCAAATGAAAGTGTTCCATCGCTGCCGCTCGCACGCGGCAAGCAGATGATAAAAAGGCGCTCCGTAAACAACTAAAAAGGCATCTTAGGGAGTTCAGCTTACGTAGAATATTGTTTGGTTCATACTGTCCAGTGTTGTACGACAAGTGTGGAAATGACAAAACGTGGTGCAAAGAATAGGCGAGGTGTGATAATTTCTGACAAATCATTACCACTTTATTCCGGGATCTAGAATACAGCCAAATAATTCGAAAATTGCCTTGAGTATTCAAAACAGAACTCCAGCGTAGTCCCTAGTTAAACCCAAAAGATGGTCCTAACATGCGATTTAATTCTCGTATGGCAAATGCTTCCGGCTTTTTGCAACAGGAATGCTAACCGTTAAATTTAAGCATTGGTGGTGAAAACATAACGAGTTTTCACAGAAGAGAGAAAGCTAAAGCAAAAAGTCAAGAACAGTAGTGCTGGGCTTTGCTTCCCCTTTTTGGTTGTTTTAGGTTACCTATTCTGGAAGAAATTGGTCCAAATCGGGAGTAATGCACATTGTTCAGTAATGACCACGTTTTCGCCCATACTAGGCAAATGTATTCATGCAGTATATAGCAAAGTGTTTCTATTGCTTCACGTAAGCAGAGTTTTTTTTTTAAATCGAGTGATTAATTTAAGATCAGTGAAAAGAACAGCAGTTTTTGGCAGTACTTTAAAATAGGATTATTTCCCTATCAATATCATCATCTTGAACGAAAATTGCTGATGCTGAAATTGAGTAAATTAGCTTAAATTTGGTTTTAGATTAAAAGCAAAGGCCTTATCTGAGATGACTCGCTTGTGTTCGTAAAAAAAGATTTAACAAAGTGTTGGAGCAAAATCAGTAAAAATAGGTACAAATAAAAAAGCGTCCAGAGGATATTCCGGGTTAGCATTGCATGGTATGATTCTCCTGGTGATGCTTTTAAACCTCGAAAACTATTCTTATTAGTTGTGGTGAATATTTAGGAGAAAAAACCAGATTTTTCTACATTATCTGGTGATTTTGTATGAATTCTCACTGCTGCGACAGATTGGCTTCATCATACTTCTTAGACCTGTCGGAACGAACCGTTGATATCCTTTTTTAGAGATTCGGGGTCAATTACCCTATTCCTGGAAAACAATTCCTTTAGACATGCGTTACTTAAACGAGGACGTACTACCTTGGTCTCTGCAGGTGGATACCTGCCCTATTTTAATTGTATTCTGCCCACATTCCCATCTTATCAACAAATTTTACTGGTGACTGCAAAGTTATTTTTAAATCCGATCATTCCAAATACTGACCGGCTGTAAATAGGTTTCTATAAACACCAATGAGGACGAAAATTACATGCTCAGTTATATGTATTGAAGAAACTGTTTAAACGAAGTGTATTGCCACAAAATGGCGTCTACATAGTTGCCAAATCCTCCATACAGGACATCACATGACTGATGAAGAAAAATTCATAAAAGGCTTCAGTGGATATGAAAATGGTGCCTTTGATTTGAAGCAGGGCAAGAAAACCAAATCTTTGATTGAGACCAAGCCAATAAATTAAGGGATTATTGTGAGTTACTGAAAACATTTAAGCGGATTGAACATGTATTGAATCGCGGGAAACTGGCTAGCAAGTATGATAGAGGAGGTCATCGGCATTCAAGCGATGCATAAGGGGACAGAACAAAATTTAACAAACTAGTCGAAACCGGTATTGCTTGCATGCAGAATTAGCCAAATTCAAAGTTATCGTCGATATGCACCATCGAAAATGGCGCATGGGGGGATTGAAAAGGCTGAAAACTGATGTATAGCTGACGCTACACTCATTCATGCAATTACGTACTTGAGAATTTTCCATCCCAAAAAAGTCCTATGTTTGTACTATTTCCCGCCGTTCATAATATGGAAGCCTTATGAGGAATTCTCCTACTTGATATTTTTGCCAGCGCAAGAAAGTTGTTCTATTTAAGCAAATGCATAAAATAAAGGCGCAGAACAGAGCACATAACTAAAAAAAGTGGTTAACTTTGCATTAGTTGTTTAATATGCAATGGTTTTCGTCCATTTCTGCAGGTCCGTGGACGGTCTATACGTTTGAAATTTTCATAAATGAATAAAGTTTTACGAAGCGTACTTGTAGCGTCCCAGGACTCCCTGAAGACGAAAGAAGACAACATACTCGGGCAGAATATATAATTAGCTCAGAGGTGTCTGGGCTATTGGCATGGCCTAAAAGGCCAGCCCACCCAGCGGGGTCAAGGGGGCTAATTTAAGGTACAAAAGTGACGCCTCACCAATAACGGGGGACAAACCACTATCGTACTACATAGGCTCTCCCCTCTTTTGAGCGTCGTCCCCGGCGCTCCCGCAGGTCAACCTTCCGGGTCAGCCATTACAACGTAGTCGGTGCAGTAAAGAAACACCCACGAGCCGACCGTGCCAGTCACCGAATTGGCGCGCAACTGAGAGGATACTTGACCCCAACGTCACTGATCCCTCTTGGCGCTCTAACTGGATCTGGAGTTTCGTCCGGTTTAGGGATTTGATTCAGGATGGGGAA